AATTAGTTCATGTTTCATTGGTCAGCCTGTGTTTAGAGCCATTATTATTCTGTACATTTTCCCATCTAAAAAAAATTTAAAACAGAATGATTACTCCCAAATATCTTCTCAACCAGCAGAAATACCAGTTCTTCTATCCGATATCCTTGGGATTTATACCTTTTCCATGACAAAGCAGAATAGGCAAGGATGCAGCACGGCTAGTGGCCTCATTTACCCCTTCTAATTTGCTACTTAGATTCCTGGAGAAAAATAGCAGTAATGATAATATATCAAAATGAACAGAACACAATAAAGATATCATTTCTGATAATATTATTGTCAGGAATCTCACTTAGCACATGGAAGCCAGCCACTTAATCCAACAACTTCACTCAAATTGGTTGGATATGGGCTGCCATTGTCATACTTTCCTTGAGTGAAGCAAGTTGCAGAGTAGAGGGCTATTGCTGCACCCATACTGAAGCCTCCAACACCGAGTTTGACTTTTACAAATGTCAACATGTATTAAATGTAACTAACTGCTTAGAAGTTTGGCCAAGCTAAAAACTCCATCTGATGGGGAGCCAATTAAAAAGAAAGAAGGAAAAAGAAGAGTTAAACTGAAATTAACTCGAGGACAGATGTTATTTGTTGTCTCATTTTATTGCCAACATATATCTGGATCCCAAACTTGTTCACATAAGTTACAAAAAGTGCACATCCCAATGTCTTAAATTAATAGAAAGTTCATGCTTTCTTATATTCGAGACAATGAATTAATATAGTTCACATACTATTGTATGGAAAGTCAGTGAAACCCTATGGAGCCCGTTCCCTCAATATCCAAACTCCAGCCACCCAAACATCTACTCTGGTTGGTGCCGGCGATGGCAACGAGGTACCGACCGGCGAACTCATCCCCACCGGCCTCACGCCACAAAACTTTGGCTATTCAGGCCAACACCACACACACCGGCGGCGGCCCTAGGTGGAAACCCTAGCACCGCTGCTCGAACCGGAGCAGGATTTTCCGACGAGAAGTTCTGGATGGAGACGGGGAGTTCAAGCGACTGAAATACGGGCAGCAGCCGTCTGAAAGCAATTGACCAATCTGGGATCCAAACCCAGATTCATGCTTTTTCGGCAGACGCGCCCGACCGGCATCCTACCGCAGGCTGTTCTGACTTAGGTGGTGCTGTCTGAAATTGCACGCGCCACTCCGACGGTGGACCTGCCGGCGAGTGAGGGCCACGTGCCGGCGCCGAAAAAGTTGAAAATTCAGGAAAATCAGTAGAATGTACCTAGATCATCCAGCAGGCCCATGTTGTCATCAGATGTGCCGTTTATGCACATTCAAAGGAAAAAGTGGTCGAATGCTAATGGTTTGGTTTTCACTCGGCGATTTAGAGTTGAGGCGAAGGAGTTTGTGGTGTCTGTTAATGAATCAAGTACTGTTAGGTTACTAGAGTGGGGCTCGAGGGTGTCGACCACAATCTATATGGGGAGGTTTGGTGCACTTTGGATGGTGAACATGGTGGATAAGTTGAGAGCAGCTAGTAAGTTCGAGGATTTTGTTTCCAAGTTTACCGAGTCACCACGAGCTTTTTGGCACGACGTTGTGCGAATAGTCGCAGCAGGTACTTGACGATAGCTCAGTATGGAGAGAGGTGTCAGATGGGTGTTGTGATGGTTCCGGAAGGCGAGGATAGAGAGGGATAGGCAACGTTCTCATGAGTGTTTAAGGCTGTGGTTGATTCATTTGTTGCGAGGGATAAACCTAAACATCGAACAATGGATGAAAGATATAGACAATGGATGACTTAAGCCGAAGTGACGGCAAACTCACATCCATCGTGTAAAGTTGATCAACGGGGGCTAGTGCGCAATGACAGGATGTATAAGGTGAGGGAATATGACGATCATCTTTCGATGCCTAAGCCTATGGAGAGACTTGCAGAAAGTTCACATGGTGGCATATTCAACAGTATTGAAATAGGGGCCCGCGTCCAGCGTTGAAAGACGAGTTGAAAGCTTCGAATTGACGGCTAATTTCAAATGGACATTCAAACCCCACGTTATAAATTACAAAAATAAGAAACAAAAATTCATAGCTTGAAAATCGTGTCTACTCAACTAGAAACACTAAACAAAGAATCAATATTGCCCAATTTATCGTTCAACGCTCTGGAACAAGCAAATCAACAAACCATAAAAACAATATCGAGTGTGTAAGGTCTTGATTAAGCAATTAAAATTATAATTTTCAAAAAGATTATAAATGACTATTTAGATACAACGACCATATGAAAATGGAAAAAATAAAAAAGTCAACCACAGATTTCATTTCTTGCAGTAACAATGTAGTTTGAGGATTTTTACTCGACATTCATAATTTTACCTGAAGAGGATGTAAACTCGATTGCGTAAATGCTCTCTCTCTGTCTCTCTCAGTTT